CCACATAATATAGCCAGAAATCCGACTGGCACACTAGCAATCTTGCAGAGTGTTCCTCACCGAGCATTTTTAACCTGCCTTTCTCCAGTACTTTGTCAAAAAACCCTTCTTTGTTTGTTGCAGAAAATGGCTCAATGTTCAAGCTATTATTTTGATCCTTTTCTATCAACTCCTTGTGGAGCTCAAGTTCATTAGGGTCATCCAAGGACGGAATTAGTACGAAAACCCCAGTTTCTATCACAGGCAATGCCAGGTAAACACAAAGGTAGGAACAATAAGATTAAGGCACCCAAAAGGAGAGTTCGTGCCCTTAATGCTTCGGAAGACAGTGAATTTAAAAGTAGAAGATATAAGCCGGTGATTACAGCTAAAACATTTAACATAATGAAAATAAAATGAATCCCGACTAATAGTATTGGCGGACAGAAGCTGCAACGGCGGTTGGTGGATGACAGGAATGAGAGCTATGCAGGATGCAAGAAGAGGCACTACCGCATTTAAGAAGGGATAGAGGGTGTCATCCTCAGGGTTTATTGCATTGGCAATTAGAGTGTACAACGCAGCACTTACGCCGTTGAAGCTGATGGTAAGGGACAAAGCAAGTGCTCTGTTGTTCGGGAAATTTCTGATGCACAAAACAAAGCACACCGTGTTGAACCAAGTGATGCTACAACCAGCTACCAAACACAGAAGAAATACCTGCCAATGAATTCACAATTAAACTAGGTTAGTTTGCAATGAAACGGTGTCTCAGAAGTTATAAAAATGCATTACATAAGCAAATGTTTTCCCCAGTTCCCTCCAAGCATGCAGAGAGATATATTAGCTCAAAGTATCAGCACCAATGCATAACAGATTCACACGTCTGAGCGGAGTCCTCGAATAAACACAGATAGATCTAACAAAAAACTAAAGTAACGCATTCCAAAATGTCGGTAAAAAGTCGAAAGTTTTGAATCAATTTTAAGACTAACTAATCCTTAGATTTCAAACATTAGTTGATCTGATAGCAGAGTGGTTAAACAGAAAATCCCATATTACCCTTACCCTATGGTCCTCCAAACTTCTAGAAAACTTGGAAAATTTGAATCATACACATTCAAGTCCAAAAAAGTGTGTCAAAAATTAGTTGAGAAAAGGAATTATGGGCAAAAGTTTGGCGAGGAATTTGGTGAGGAAATTTTTTAAAACTGTTAGAAAAGTATTCCTTACTACTTCAACCCTACACCAAATTTCTTCTTCTTCTTCCTCTTTTGTTACTTGAATCAATTGGATTAAGTTGTTGGTTAGCTTTATATTTCATTTGCTAAACTATCTTACATTTTTATATAGGAATTAGACTTCAGCTTTTGTGATCATTTTGATTTTGTTTGGAGGAGTAAATCTCAATCATTTATTATTTTCCTGGAAACAAGATCAAAAATAAACTTAAGAAAGCAAGAAATCCTAAATATAGAAGAAAAAAATTGAAGAAAATGAAAAAAAAAATCCCTGAAAAGAGAAGAACAGATTAAAAATCCCAGAAACGAGAGAAACCAAGTAATCCAAACAAGTACAGATTCAAGTTAAACAAAGAAAACAAGAATCATTTCCTCTCTCATATCAATTCATTCCACACCACCGTGAAAGAGCCTTGAAAGATGAAGAACTAACCAGGAAATAAGGCATGGAGATGAATTGTTTGATGACAAGCCATTGAAGAGCATAGCCAAAAAAGCCGAAGAAAGCAGCCATGAACATGACAACCCACAATGGGAAATACATCAAAAACACCCCAGAGCACCACCCAAACGCCTTCCCCATATCCGAAGCAACGGACAAATAGTTGAGCTGCACCTGAGATATCCCCAGAACTGATTTGAAAGTGGAAGAGTAGGACGAGAAATCGAAGTTGGTCCCCGTAAAAGCTTGTATCCATATCGTTGCCACTAGTATCATCCACTTCCTTGATTGCACCGCCATTGCCAAAAGCTTCGTTTACCCCCCACAAAGAAAAAGAGGTAGAAGAAGCGCAGAAACTCGAGCTGGGTGTACGTATGTATGGCTAATTATTGTGTTGGAAATTTGACCTTTTATTGTTTTTTAACTGGGATGACGAATTTCTGTTTATATTAAATCCAAATTTATATATGTGGATAATCGTGCAAATTGATTTGTCTGATTCGATCTGATTTTATGATTGTTAGATCTTGATATGATTAAGGGTAAGTTCTCCATTTGATCATCCATTTATTATTTAACTTTTATTTTAGTTATTTTTTTGTTATTTAATTATTATATCTAAAAAATGTATACATATCATTATGTTTTAATTATTTATTATCAAAAATTAATAATAATATTGATGTGTATAATATCACGTCAATACTAAAAATTAATAAAAAGTACTCACGTTAATATCATCGTCAAAAAAGTGATGACAAATGATCAAAATATAATCGAAAGATAACACTATGTATAATTTTAAAAAATAACAATTACATAACTAAAACATAGGTTAAATAATAAATGAACAATTTTTCTATTAATCTAAAGTAATTATAAAACAGTAGTGTTCAAAGATTACTCTCTCTCTCTTTGATTAAGCTAAGATGATAACAAAGTAGTATATGTTTCAAATACTTTTAATCATTTGACAATAAACGCTCAATTATCCTACCGCAACCGTTAGTATTTGAACATGTGACCTCTAGGAATAACAACGATTCCTTTAACTACCGAGGTAAATTGGTTCGTGCTTCAAAGATTACTCTCAACTTATAAATAGATAATTAAAAAATTCTTTACTTTATGATTAATAATATAATATAACTTAAGATGAATATAGTGATTTTAATTAAAATTTTCAAGTTGCAGACCTAATTTCTTATCTAGAAATATTAAAAAAATGTATATTATTTTTATCTTGAAATTTATATTTTATTTCCATAATATATATATATATATATATATATATATATTAAGTTGAAGTTATGAAAAATAATTTATTGTGAACTGACAAGGTTGTTGAACCTAACCTTATTGAATATTAATTGTTTATCTTGAATTAAGTTACACATTTATTGTATGAGCTGACCCGCAGTGTTTCAGACTTTGTAGAGTACACTCATTTTCAGATGCTGTTTCTTTTAAATGTTTGTTTTTTCTTATGTACATATAAATTTTATTTTAAGCTAAATATTAAGAAACTTAAAAAAAAGGTAAATATTAAGAAGTAAACCTATGTAAAATAAATTAATATGAATATTTTTTTATTTATTAATTAATAAATAGATTTCTGTAAATGTTTGTTTTAATTATAAATAAAAAAATATAAGGGTTAACTACACAGATGATCATTTATGTTTGTGTTTTGTCCACTTTTAGTCATTGATTTCAAAATAAATAAGATACATTCACTTTCGTTTTTATTTAATTAAGATTTGATTGCATTTGTTTTTATTTATTTAAGATGTAGTCACAACGAGTTAACTGCCGTTAAATATTTTAGTATAATCACACATCTAATCATTGTTAATTGTTATTTGCATATTCTCTCAATGTAGTCGTACTTTTAATAAATTAAAATAAATTTAATCCTTCAATCGAATGATATCACATGTCATTGGTATCATGTGTTACAATTCGGTTGGAAGACTAATTTTACTTTATTTTATTTTATTTTAACAAAGCAAAACAAATTGGTAGAAAATAAATATATTAAATTAAAATAAAATTAATCCTCCAATCGAATGGAGACACATGACATGACACATGACACCAATGACACGTGACATTATTCGATTTGAGGATTAAATTTATTTAATTTATTAAATGCGTGACTAAATTGAGAAAATATGTAAATAATAGACACCTAACGTGTGATTATGCCAAAATATCACTTCACTTAATGTGTTAACTATTAACAACAAGTTAACATGTTGTGACCACATTTTAAATTAATAAAAATAAAAGTAAATATATCTTAATTAAATAAAAATGAAAGTAACTATATCTTATGTATTTTAAAATTAGTGATCAAAAGTGAATAAAATACAAATATAAATGTGTAGTTAACCCAAAATATAATTATATTTTGTAAACTAGAGAAGTTAACGTATCGTAATGAAATATCAGTTTTGTATTTACACGTTATTTCATCACCAGGAGATTTACACGCCTTGTTCTCACTCACATCAGTCAAATTTATTACCCTTCTCTTTACTCATCCTTCGTGCATCCCTAATAACATGTTTTCTGTCCAAAGATTGTCAAATTGTATCCTGTAGCATTATATAGGCTTAACTCAACGAGTGACTTCATTGAATAGATGAAATGTTATTTTTCACTAAGATCATGAGTTCAAGTAATTACGTCTGCAAAATACGATTTATTAATGGTTAATCAAAAGGACTGAAATTTTTATAAATACAAGTTATTCATTATATTTTGCATGCAAATATAATCAATTTTTTTATTAAACTAAAGTGATTACAAAGTAACATCAATTCTAAATACTCTAATACTTTAACAATGAACGTTCAATCACTCTGCTGCAATCGTTAGTGTTCGAACCCATGATCTCTAATTTTAACTACTGAGATAAATTTATTCGTACAATATAATCAATTCTTTAAATATAAAGAGTAGCTACGTCTACCATTTCTAAGTTATGGTTCATATTCTAAATTGATATCCGAGTTGTAAAACATCTTATTAAAACATTTGTATCATGTTCATTAAATCTTTTTTGTCAACTTAATCGTTAATTTTAAACATTGAATCTAGCATAAAAATCAATACAAAACACCCATGTATTCTATCTCATGATCAACTTAGATTTAAATTTAATATTATATACACACACCCGCTCCAAACATAATATCGACTTCAACTATTGTTTTTCTTTTAATGTTAAATCCGAAGTGATCATGGGCTAAGGTTTTTTTTTTACATTATGCCAATCATATATATATATATATATATATATATAGAGAGAGAGAGAGAGAGAGAGAGAGAGAGACAGAGAAGGTTATTCATCACTAGCACAAAAAACCCACACAAATTGAGAGAGAATTCAGATGCATATGATCCTGGGAACCTCAAATGACATTGCTTGGCTCGCAGATAAACAAGGCAGCTTTACAGGTGAATTTTGAATATTAACATCGACGACAGTTTCTTGTAGTTGGATTCATTAAATACGTCGATCATAAAAGATGTCATAAACAGTTCATCTAGAAACCATTCAACTTCCCCGTCCCTACTAAATCTTTCAACTAAGTTCATCCACAAGCCTTCTCAGATGCAAGTCCACCCCAGAAATTTCATATACTGAAACAAAAAGTAAATCATGAACATACATCTAATAGTGCTAGCTTGATGTGGCTTACCGGGCAACTGAAGGCTGAATACGAGAATATAGGTTCCTCGAAAAGTGAGGGTTTAATATTTTTCCGATCTCCAGGAAACTGATATTTTCTTTTCCATCAAAAATGGTCTTAAGCTTCTCATCGAAAAAGATCTCCCTCTTGTTATCTGGATTCTGCAGTTAAAAATATTTGTTTAATTTAGTTTAGGCCATTAAAAATTTTGTTTTTCATAAAACAATAACAGTCATAATATGATCTCTGTGTGGAATCTGTTAATAATATAAAATAGTAAAATCAGCAACTTTTAACATCATGATATGAAGCTAACAACTTTCATGATCTAGCATAAAAAAGAAACATACCATCCATGTGAAAAATGATGGTTCAGAGGTAAGAAGAGGATCATCATTTCCTGCCTACAGGACTATGTTACTAGGATTAGAATGTGTGAAATTAACAGATAAATTTCCAAGCGCAGATGTTTATTTTTCCAAAATTTTCACAAGTATTTGGAGTGTCATAACTCATATCACCATACCCATGTAGCGATAGGCATAAAAATAATGTTGTCGGATATATGTACTTCAAGAAGAAAATATGAATATACGGAGCAACATAACTATAGGAAGAACAATGGACTGCATAATTGGAGTTACTCAACTAGGGTAGGAGGATTCACGGACACCGCAAAGTAACTTATCTCAATCATTCTCATATACATCTTTTTCCTGAATAAGTAAAGAGCACATACCATGGGAGAATATGACAAAGAAATAGGATCCTCCGATGAATTCCGTTATCCAAGCATTTTTAAGAGGAAAAAGTTAGGTGGAGAGTGAAAATAATGCCTAGGAGGGAAAGGAAAGTGGACAAAAACCAAATACATCAAGTCATTAGAGAACTCAAATGCCATATACCTAAAGCACCTATTGCTCTCCGTCTCACTCAGTCTCAATGATAGCACATTTAGCCCAAAGGACAACAAGCATTACTCCTTTCAATTTCCTTACCCTCCTCTAAAATCTAAACACCAAATTGAAGGAAGGAACAAGTCACCCTATAAGATTGAAAATTGATTAAAAAATATTCGCATATTTTATTTTCTTTCTGTTTCCTATGAAATATCCAGTACCCTGCTGGCGTACCTCTAGCAACATGAAACAGCTGAAAGGTAAATGAAAACATCATTCCTCACAAGAACAATAATGTTTCATTCCAGTGTTCAAGTCATAAATTTTTTTCACACAAAAGGCAAGTAAAACCTTGAATTGCAGAAAACCAGGAATGGAAGAAGAGGGCCCTGATAGGATAACAGAGGCTCGATCTAAAGCACACACAGAAGAATCCAAAGTTTAGAAATCACTTTTGCAGCCTTCCCTTTTTCCCTTTCATCTTCACTTTCTTACATTCAGAAACTAATATGCACCTTCTCGTCTCATCAGACATATATTATATACCCAGCTTTCTCCTATAAGAGTCACCTTAAATACAATTGGAAAACACCCACAGCTGCAAAGAACATAAAAAACATTTTACAGTTGCAATGCAGCATCACTTTGAATCCCTTTAGGAAGCATGAAACTTAGAACTACGGGCATAGTGAAACCATCAATGAAAAGCATTGTAATCGCATTTTATTAACAATTCATAAAAACTAATCGTAACACAACTGCAAACTTAACTTATCTTGAACAATGAACATTAAACAGCTCCGAGCTTAATGATTAACAACCAACTAGAAAATAAAATAAATATGCAAGGCAAAAAACAGAAAGCCGTGAAAAGGATAACACTAACCCAAGAATGCCATCAACCAACTAGGGGAAAAGGGAAAAAACTAACAAATCATAAGAATCGTTTTCCTTTTTCTTTTTCAAATTCACATTACTCAAAAAATAATATAAGAAAGAGAGTAAAAACACAAAGCATGTACAACCCAAGGAAGATATCAACATATTACATTCGAAGCAAAAGGAACACACACACACACACACACGGAGAGAGAGAGAGAGATGACCTGGAGGTTTTTGGATTTGGCATAGGACCAGATCTGCTTCACAGCGTCCGCACGAGAAGCCTTGTGGGTTCCAAGGAACTGTCTCAAATGAGGAGAAATCACGTAAGCTTTAAGAATCCCAGTGGGAGCAGCAGGTGGGTTTTTTAGTCTTGGGTTTTGAAGTGGTTGGCTTTTTCGGGATTTTCTGAGCCACTTTTGAAGAAGTTGATTCGCAGCAGAAGAAGAAAACTTGACTGCTGTAGCTGCTGAAGACGGCGGCGCCGCCGCTGGTGAATCTAACAGCGCCCTGAAGCCTTTGTAAACCCTCAACATGTTTGGCTGCTAGAGAGAGTGTCCGCCTTTGACCTTTTGGTGCCTGAAATAGGGGGAAATCGAGAAGACCGGGGTGGACTTTCGAACAAATAGGGATCCGGCTCGTGGAAATCGGGTTCAGTTATTCAATCCCAATTCATTTCAAGATAAAATTAGGGTAAACTATACAAATGATAACTAATGTTTGAGTAAATTGTTATTTTTCTTACTAAAGTTTTAAAAATAACAACTTGATCACTAATAAATTTGATTTATTACAAATCGATCATTCACCCTTAACAATCGTTATTACAACAATGACGTGACACGTTAATTTACTTATGTGACGCTGTTTGACCATACCAGTTAACTTATCTTGATAACCTATTCATTTTCCCTTATTTTCTTCCATAAACCAAATCTTTATTCATCAAGAGATGATTTTCTACAATTCCTCTTTCACAACGTTTTCAGATGTGTCATTAGAGTACAAGTGTCATAATCGTCTTTGGTTGGGCCTCGAATTGGGCTTCGACTTGAAATAATTGGGTTGGGAGTCGCCACCGACCACTTTAAAACGAATTTAGGTGGGTCGGACACCATCTTACCTGATCTGCGTTTTTACCAGAAATGTGTCGGGTTCGGGAGTCGGTTATGGTCAAGGTAGGATTAGCACCCTTGAACTGCCCTTTCGGTACCAATTAATATGACGGTTGTCTTAAATTAAGAAAATTGTAATTTAAAATTAAAAGGTAAAAATACGATCACAATTGCTTACCTTAGATAGTTTTAAAGGTGTGGCCTTAAGAAAGTCAAAAAACCATGTTAGATAAAAAAGTAAGAAATAAATAATTAATTAAATTAAAATGAAGAAAAAAAATAAATTAAATAAAAGATAAGATAAAGAAAGCAAAAATAAAATAGTAAGTAAAATAAATACAAAAAAATAAAAAATAAAGAAAAAAAGAAAAAAATATATAAATAAAACAAATAAATAAAAATAATAATAAAAAAGTAAAAATAATATATATATATATAATAAATAAAAAAATAAAATAGTAAAAATATATATACATAAATTAATAAAACTGATAATAAAAAAATATATATATATATATATATATATATTTATAATCTAAAAAAATAAAAATATATACTAAAGTAAAAAAACAAAATGCATAAAATGTAAAAAATATTACATGAAAAAAAAAGAAAAAAATAAATAAAATGAGTAACAAGTGAAATGTGCATATAAATAAAGTTAAATAAATAAAATAATAATAATTAAAACGTAAATGTAAGAGACCGAATCAAAAGTAAAAAAGATGCTACCTTTTATTTCCTTTTCGAATCGTTTACAATAGCTTTGCTTTTGTATTTTCCGTGCTTTCCTCTGTCGAATTGAGTTGCGGATGGCTCCTCCCTCGCGAAGTCGAGCCCATCTTGAAATGATTTGAATCAGAATGTGGTTTCTTGTTGTAGTCCACTTTGGTCTTCTTCTCGGTTTAAAGACCTTGGCTAAAAATTCTACTGAAAAGTAATCCCTTGACTCCACAATGTGGTTGATATGCTCTCGAGCTGAATGAAACCGAACTCGAAAAGTCTTCGTTGACAGATAGCTTTTCTCGACTTAAGCTATGCTGACGGAAAAAAGGCTTCTTGCTACTAAGGCACGGCTAACCCAGATCTTCTTCTTGGCTTAAAAACCTATATTACAGCCGGACAATAGTGTGATTGAGGTGTCATCGAGCTGAATGGAATCGAACTTGACAATTTTCGTTGACAGATAGCCATTCTTGCCTTGAGCTATGCTGTAAATTTGATTTACCTCTGAGTTGTATGTAATCGAACTTGAAGGTCTTTGGTGATAGATAACCCTTCTTTGTGTTGGATATCCTTCGTCATGAAGTTGAAATCCAATCTAGAGATGGATGCTGCTTGTGTGCACGATTCCCCTTCGTCGTGAAGTTGAAACCGCGGGTGGCTCCTTCGTCGAGAAGTTGAGCCTAGTAATTGGATATCCTTCATTGTGAAGTTGAAATCCAAGTGGGTAGTATTGTTCCGAGTCCAATATCATCCGTCGTGAAGTTGAAATTGGCTCTGGAACTGGGAAATTGTTTGTTGACAGCTAGTCGCCCCTTCGCTGTGAAGTTGAGCTTGTGTTGTCTCGAGTTCAATATCCTTCACTGTGAAGTTGAAATTGACTCTGAATGAAACTGAAAAGTTATTTGTTGACAATCATTCGCCCCTTCGTTGTGAAGTTGAGCTTGTGTTGTCTTGAGTCCAATATCCCTCGCTGTGAAGTTGAAATTGGCTCTGAAACTGGAAAAATGTTTGTTGACAGCCAGCTGCCCCTTCGTTGTGAAGTTGAGCTTATGTTGTCTTGAGTCCAATATCCCTCGCTGTGAAGTTGAAATTGGCTTTGAAACTGGGAAGCCCCTTCGTCGTGAAGTTGAGCCTCAAATGGCACGGTATCCTCCGTCGTGGAGTTGAAATCGTGGATGTGCGGGTACGATATCCTCCGTCGTGGAGTTAAAATCGCTGATGGCTCCTTCGTCGTAAAGTTGAGCCTTGACTTGAATATCCTTTGTCGTGAAGTTGAAATCCAAGTATTGTATGTTGCGGGTGGACACGATTCCCTTCACCGTGAAGTTGCAACCGTGGATGACCCCTTTATTGTGAAGTTTGGTTTCGAGTTAGATATCCTCCGTCATGAAGTTGAAATCTACTCTCGAGCAAATTGTGCCGCTTTGAGTTCAATATCCTTCGCCGCGAAGTTGAAATTGACTCTAGCTAAAACCTAAAAAAGTTATGCATATATGTGATGTTATGGATGCAATGCTCTTAGGTGTACCTAAAATGCATATGCAACATATGTTATCTTGGGGCTCTGGAGAGAAATTTCGATCTCCGGTTGCCTGTCTGGAATCTTGATTCTTGAATCTTCAAGTTCTGATCCCTGATCTTGAATTCTTCAAATATTCAAATCTGATGTGTACATTCTATTTTTGATTTGAGAAATGCTTCTCGACCATCTTAAGTATGTGTCTGAGCTGAGTGTAACGGTTTAGATGATGCTTCAAGAGAAGTTGTCTTGAAAGAGATAGAATTCGTTTCAAGGGAAACGACCTCAAAGATATATCTCAAGGGAAATAAAATTTTGTTTTAAGGGAAATAAATTTGAAGATTTTGTGTTTCAAGAGAAACTGTCTCAAGGGAGACAAAATTTGTTTTAGGGGAAATAAATTCAAAGATTTTGTTTCAAGGGAAACTGTCTCTAGAGAGACTAAATTTGTTTCAAGAGAAACTGTCTCAAGAGAGACAAAACTTAGTTCCAAAAGAAACTCTCTCAAGAGAGATAAAATTTGTTTCAAATAAAACATATTCAAATATTTTGTTTCAAGGGAAACTGTCTCAAGAGAGACAAAATTTGTTTCAAGGGAAACTGTCTCAAGAGAGACGAAATTTATTTCAAGGGAAATGTTTTCAATGTTTATGTTTCAAGAGAAACTGTCTCAAGGGAGATGAAATTTGTTTCAAATAAAACATATTCAAATAATTTGTTTCAAGAGAAACTTGGAAACTGTCTCAAGAGAGACAATGGTGAGAACGATTCCCTTCGTCGTGAAGTTGAAATCGTGGATGACCCCTTCGTTGTGAAGTTGAGCCTTGGAATTAGATATCCTTCATCGTGAAGTTGAAATCCAAGTAAGTTGTATTGTTCTGAGTCCAATATCCTCCGCCGTGAAGTTAAAATTGGCTCTGGAACTGGGAAATTATTTGTTGACAAAACCAGCTGTCCCTTCGTTGTAGAGTTAAACTTGTGTTGTCTCTAGTGGCACGATATCCTCCGTCGTGGAGTTGAAATCGCTGGTGCCCTTTCGTCGTGAAGTTGAGCCTTGACTTGAATATTCTTCGTTGTGAAGTTGAAATCCAAGTATTGTACGTTGCGGGTGGACACGATTCCCTTCGCCGTGAAGTCAAAACTGTAGATGACCCCTTTATTGTGAAGTTTGGCTTCGAGCTAGATATCTTTTATCGTGAAGTTGAAATCTACTCTCGAGCGAATTGTGTTGCTTTGAGTTCAATATCCTTCGCCGTGAAGTTAAAAATGACTCTGACTGAAACCAGAAAGTTTTTTTGTTGTCAGACAGCCGACCATTCGCTGTGAGATAGAGCAACCACCATGTGCTTTTGAATCGAGCATCCTTCATCTTGAAGTTGAAAATTGACTCTAAAAGCTGTAAAAACTTATGTATACAAAAAATGATAAATGCGATGCTCTTAAGTGTGTCTAAGATGCATGTAACATGAATTAGTTCTGTTTTATCACCTGGATGGAGTCTCGTGCTTTGTGTACTTGTTCCCGCATATGGAGGAAATGCCTTCAAAAGGTCTGATAATTTGCATCAGGAAGTTGAATTCCCAAAGATGCCCCAATATTCAATGTTGAATATAAAAAATGCCCCAACATTTGATGTTAAATCTAAAAAATGCCCCAACATTTGATGTTAAATCTTCAAAGATGCCCTCATTGTTCCTAATTTCTTGCTTCAGTATGAGTTTTGTATTTGAGAGCCACATGTCATTTACCAAGATCCACTCTAGAGAGATTGTCTTGTTTTGGAAAAAATGTTTTTCTTTCTTTTTTATTTTCAAAATTCTGAAAATATCAAAAAAGAGTTTCGAAAAATGTTTAACCAAAAGTTTTGAAAATATTGCCCCTTTCAGGGCTTTACAATTGAGACAAATCATAAAACTAGAGTTCATTGGATATCAAAGAATTAATTATATTGTTAATCCTTCAATAAATTATAGCCGTTTGACATGTGCCAAGATCAAATCTATTTTGGGGAAATGATTAAGTAAGAAAAGGATAAAAATGTCTCAGGTTATTGTATTTGGTCAAAGGTTTGGCATTTTTGTTTATTTGATGCTCAAAGGTTTGATGGGGTATCTTGCATGCTCCTCTTATTGGATGTGTTCTCCGATTCCCATCTTTCATAGTCAAGCTCGGATTATGCGATGCTTATCAAGGAATTCGTGCGATCGCCTCAGCTGCCCAATTTTTGTATTCGAGCCGCCTTTTCAGGTTTTCA